ACTTGCTTTCGTTACCTTCTGTAATTGTAAGCATAATGTGAAGTGTGGGATTGTGGCATGTCAACAGTGGTCTTCAAATAATTAAAAAGAAAATTCTCTCACACATTTTGGATATGACACAATTTTTCCAATTTTGAACTACAGTCTGTAGATTTATTTTTTTTTATTATTTTTTTTAATTTTGGATTCATCTTTTCAGTATTTCATTGTAGTGTTTTAGAGAAGGTTTTATACTTAAAATAACTTGTTAACTCAAAAGCCTCGATAAGTCTTTGTAGTCTTTTATAGTCCTTAGAACTCAACAAAAACTGTTTGAAATAGTCTCCAAATCTAGGTTACATTTACTTTCACTCACCTTATCCTACTGCTAGCAAAGGGTGCATTGAAAGCAGGGCAGTATGTAACAGATTTAATGCAAGTTATAAAAATTAAATTGTTTATTTGTTAAAAACAAAAATTAAATCAATAATTAGCAAAACGCTAGTCCTATAAATGTAATATGTTTGACTTTTCGCCTAGTAAACTTTTTTTATTCTCCAGAGTTCGGTGGAAACAAGAAGAGAGGTCGCAATCCGTTGCCTGATGGTGTATTTGAAAGAGAAAGAAGAGGATCTCTTCAGAGAACAGCTGGTAGGTAAATCTCACATTGTTTTGTGTTATATTTTTAAATAGCACATAAAATACCGACATGTTTCTTTTTAACCTACTTGCCAGGATGGTGAAGAACAGTTCTCAGAAGAAGTGGTAAAGATCATAGTCACCAGACGTGCAGCAGTGTCTCTTCCAGCCGTCGCTAAAATTGTGATTGAAGGAACAGCTGTCCTGGAAAACCTTGATGTGCCCAGAGCATGTGCCTTAATGATGGGACTTATATACGCTCTCAATCTGAGCTACCCCAAACAAGTAAAGAACATTCTGTGATTCTGTGACATTTACCAAGTTGATAGGTTAAAGTTTAATGTTTAACCCTTAGATGATGTTTAACCCTTAGTCAAAAATTACCCCACGGGTTGTTTTTCTTTTTCCCATCGGAGGCACTGACTCAGAATCTGACATCTAAGATATAGAGTATCCAGACTATTGTCCCCCCTACTGAACAAGGCCAGTCAGATACAGAGGAGTCCTCTGATGAGGAAATGGATATTGAGTCTAACAGAATGAGCCCCTCTTACTGCTCTAGCCACAATATTCTGAATTAGTCGCCCAGGGCTTGCACCTGGGTCTAGTACTGTCTCCCCAATAGATGCATGGAAGATGTTCAT